CAGAGTTCCTCTGTGTGTCACCTTCTTTACCTTATACAATCCCTTCATTACCCCTAGAACAGCTCTGTTGTCAGTACCCTGCCCATCCCCTAAAGGGGCTCAGGCCTAGAACCCAGAGGATATTCTGACTGCCAGTCTAGGAATTTCATGAAAACCAAGTAGGCGAGAGGAATCTCATATTTTTTCCACCCTAACATCAAGGGCTGACTCTGTGTGACCTACGCTACCACTCCCACAGCACCTGGCAGAGGTTGGCACTTGATGTAATTTTAAACTTAATTATGCCTTTCTGTGAGACATGTAGGCACATTTCTTTTCAGATCACACAGACTCTGAGGACAGAGGTCATGTCACATTGTTCTTTCTGTGACTTGGCACTGGCACAGCCGCCATATTTGGAGCACAGGGTAATGAGCAGTAAGTGAATGGATTGGTGTAATAATTGGGTCATTTGAGTTGAAAAGAATTTAAGTGAGGGATGGGGTTGTGGCTCAGCGGTAGAGCGCTTACCTCTTATGTTTGAGACCCTGGGTTTGATCCTCAGCACCACATAAAAATAAATAAATAAAATAAAGGTATTGTGTCCAACTACAACTAAAAAATAATAAAAAAATTAAGTGAAAGCTTTCAGGAGACAAAACGTGTTATTCTTTTCTTATAAACTAGAAGTGCAGTATGAGAGTTTTTTTTGAACTAAAAGTACAAATATGATTTATGGTTAACAAACAGGAATAGCCAGTGGTAGCAGGTAAGCCAAGTTTGGGTAACAATAGCCAGCTTGTTAACTAGGTAAGAATGAGGTTGTGTGGGTAGTATAAAATGGCAGATCCTAACAAGGCAAACCTGAGACACTTGAAAGAATGACTTGGTCAGTTAGAAACAGAAATAAGAGGGAAGGTGGCAGGGGGAGAGAAGAGAATTAAAACTGGTATAAGATTTCTGTCTGGAAACTGAGATATTTTGTACCACTAAGAGAAATGAGAAAAATGGAAACAAAATTGATTTTGGGTGCAAGATTAGTTTGGTCTTAATCCTTTCTTTCTTCTTTTCTTCCTGTCAGGGATTGAACCCAGGAGTGCTTAACCACTGAGCCATATCCCCACCCACTTTTTATTTTTAATTTTAAGACAGGGTCCCAATAGGTTGCTCACAGCCTCGCTAAGTTGCTGAGGCTAGCTTTGAACCTGTGATCCTCCTGCCTCAGCCTCCTGTGCCTCTGGAATTATAATTGTGTGCCATCATGCACAGATGGTCTTGATTATTTCAACTCCAGTGTTCATAATTATTAAATCGAGGTTGTACTTGCTCTTTATGAGGAAATGAGATGATGAAAACACTTTGTAAACTGGAAAGGACTAGGCAATTGTAATGTGTTTAAAGATATCTTTATCATCAGTGTATGTGTGTGGTTTTCACATTCATCTTTAAAGGTGAGCCTACACCACATTATGATATATATGGTGTAGGCTCACCTTTAAAGATATATACACACACACACACACACACACATCTACATATATATATATATATATAT